TTTTTTTAAATACAACTTGTAAAAGACAGACACATTGTTGAACATTGACAAACACTATGTCTTTTCTTTACTTTTCTTAAACCATATTCCTTAAGTATTATTATTATTATTCTCATTACAGGTTCTCTAATTTTGGTTGGCAACTAACCTAGGAGAAGGGAAACTAAACTGTGACAAAGACAATGAGAAATAACTATCTTTCTCAAGATCACAGTAATGCAGAGCTTCCAGACATTAAAGGACGCTGTGGAGAGCCATGTTTACCTACACCCTAAAGAAACAGCAATTAAGAAAGAGTTTGAGAGAGTACTAATAAAACTCACTTTAACATTTTAAATGTAATTGGATTTTATCCAATTACAAATTATTTTCCTATATTCATGTATTTTCAAATAATTGTAATCTATTCCTTGACAGTTATAGTTTAAATTAACAAAACTTGGTTGGCAAGGCAGTCTAGAGGAAGGACAAAAAGCATGGGGAAGGCAATAAGAAATCACTCCACTATCTTTCCCCCAAGAATAACCATGGCAATTTAATTCACAAATATTAAAGCAAACCGTGATGATCCATGATTGCCTACAACCTGAAAAGGGTGTGGCACTTACATATGGATGTACAAAAATGACACTATGTCTAAACTTTACAACAGTAAGGGCATAAGTATAAGTAATCATAAACTTTTGACAATCATCAATAACAAAAAAACACAATGTAACTTTATCAGTCAGTCTGCATTCTCCTTATTAGAAATGAGATACAATATTAGTTATGATAACAGGAGGCATTACTGCCAATGAGAAAACTGGCCTAATTTACCATAACAATGGAATATTTCATTAGTAAATAAAGGAGATCCGATTTGTTTTTCATTTCTTTTGCATTTGCTTTCTTTGGATATTTTTTACTTTTATTTAAAAAAAAAAAAAAAAAAAAAAATCTTTCTTAAATGTGACAATAATTAAATGTATAGAAATTCTACATTACACATAAAAAAAAAAAAAAAAAACAACCAATGCCATTGCAAAATATTTCCATCATATTTTGTTGCTGAAGATATATTAACCTCAAATGGAAATTGACTATGTGCATTTAAGATTTTCCTAAAAACTATAAGAGTTAAGACCAATAAATACTTACATATTTTTTAATCAACATCATCCATGAGAGGTGTTTTATTTCTTTTGTATTAACTTTGGAGATTTACACTATTTAGATGCAGACTATTGTCTTCATCTTAGTTGTTATCACATTTCAGCCATCATACCCCCAGGCCTTAATCAGTGTATATCAATCTGGATAACCTACAGAGAACTCTGAACTGAACCCTTTATTTAATCTACAGGGGTAGACTGTTCTTTTGCTACTGTCCATGTCTAGAGATATCTTGTCTAATCCAGACAGAAATTAGCTTTGGATAGTTTTACTTTTAATGATTTAAAAAGCAGAATTCCTTATTATATATAAAAACAGAATTAATTGTACAGACAAAAATCCTAGCTCACATATGTAGAAAAAATAATGGAATTGCAAAATTAATTAAATATTTCCATCATATTTTGTTGCTACAAGTATAGTAGCCTCAAATATAAAACTTGAGTTCTCTGTGAGTGTTTAGGATTTTCCTAAAACCTATGAGGAGTTAAGACCCACAGAAACCACAATTATTATTATTTGGCATCATCCAGGAAATTTTTATGCAATTTATTTGGACCAATCAAGTTCTTAAATTGTCCCGTCAAATCGGGACTTTCATATAAATATCATAAATAGCACCAAATCCATTCAAAAATAGCTAAACTGTTAGCTGTATACAATCACTTTCTCAAATTAATGGTTAAAAATAGCTTTGAGCAAGTAAAGCATGTGGATCTTGGTGAAGACCATACTTCTTCGAACATTGAGGAACTGGCGCTACAGAATCACAAAGAACTGTACCAAATAACAGAAACTGCATCATTTGAGATCTATCAACAGCAGCAACAACTAAAATAGATAACACATGTAATTCAAAGAGAAAAATAATGACATAATCAAGATGTTGACATTCTACACTACATCAAATAAAAGGTTAGGAAGGAAACATGATCAACACAGAAAAGATCGATAACAGCTACTGGACTTGGCATTTTCCTGAAAAACTGTTTTAAGAGAAAGACTATATTAATTTCAATTGACAATAGTACTAGTTGCTTGGTCACTGAATGTTTCCTTATAAGGAAACAGCTAATATTCCTCTTATCTTTTTATGTGTATTGTAATTTTAAGATATAATTGAAGAAATAAAAATAAAACTTTACCAAAGAAAGCAATATTTTACTTTATTTTGCAGCTTTAAACTTTCTGCTTCAGGATTAATTTTGACCCCAGAATTTTTTTTTTTTATCATACTGGCTGCTCGGTCAGTGAATGCCAAAGGTATCCTTATAAGCTATCACAATTTTGACTTAAACTTATTCTCAGGGGAAAAAGACTTCACACAAAAATCAAACAGGTACTTTGTACTTTTCCAACTGTTGTTTGGTTGGTACATTTTCAAATGCTTTGAGAAAATTATTTCCATTTTCATTGAATAATGAATGTTTGATAGTAAGGATTACGTTATTTTTTCCCAGTAAATCAAATTTAAAATTCCTTGAAATTTCTGAGAGTGAGACTTTCAATATGTTTGATGCTTTTTGTCATGTACAGGCTTTCATTCCAGCAATGTAGCATTCCTGATAAATCGGGACAATACAGAGTTTTCAAGCATTTCTTTGGAAGCATCTGAAATTAAAGGGTTCCTCACATCCACCTTACTCAAGAAACATTTCATTCAATACGCAGGTATCGTTGGGTTTACAGCAAGTTTTCAACATCTGCGGTACTGTTTTATGCTATTTGTATTTTAGTAAATATATGATCAATAAACATATTTATAAAAAATTTAAACTTAATTTCTTTAATAAAAATGTTAAAATAATTTCACTTTTATTGTGATTATTATTTATAGAAGTTACTATTTTAAAGCCATTTTCTGAGTCTTAAGTTTTTTTTACTTAATAATACCTAAAAAGCTAAAAACGTTTATTTCCCATATAATTTTTTTTCAGCTTTATCGGTGTCAAAAATGTTCTTTAACTGAACTTTTAGGATAACCAATATCTTATAATGCCGCATCCATTTATGACGTAGGCGATCATAGCTCTCCACAACTTCTTATACCCTAAGCAACAATCAACATACTTGCTCAAAAGTGAAAATAAAAATTCAAAATATATTTTAAAAAAAGCTTTTAAAAGGCGAATAATGTTTTTGCGCACGCGCGACAATTAAAAAAAAGCTTCCTATCGGTTGATTGATTTTTCACTTTAGAGATCAGATGGAAAATAAATTTTAAAAATAATTCTAACTAACTTGTTTTAACTTTCTTTGGGAATGAAGGAAATTTTTTTTTTAAATTAATTATTAGCACATACACAATCACACGCATGTTTTTAATTGGGTCTCTAGACTCTCTAGTGGACTTTAGTTTTGTTATTGATTGAGCAGATTCATTTATTGACTTTGAATACAAAGTTTGTACAAAGAAATACACAAACAAAATGGTGATTTTTATCTTTCACAATTTTTAACTCCCCACCCCTAGATTTCTCAAGGATAAATTTGAGAATAACGAAAATAAAAAAAAAAAATAATAAAAATTTGTACAGTACATATAACAGACGAAAAGAAAATTTAAAGAAATTGCACCTACTGTAGGAAATTAATCGTGCGTCTTGTCTTCTAAGGGCGAAAATAAATGGGGGGGGGGATAATTCGAAGTTAAAATGGCAAATTTTCTTGGAGAAGAATCGAAAAAGAAAAGACAATACAAGTTGATTTTTTTTTTTATAAGAATAAAGAAGTTCTTCTTTATGAAATGAAATTAAAAACGAATTAAAAAGAAAGAAAACAAAAACACCTAGAGAGTCAGACTCAGAGGGAAAAATGAACTTTTGACAGGTTCTGTGAAAACTTGAACTTTCAATTTTCAGGATAACGGGGAAGAGTGGGAGGTCACGTGAGTGAGTGTGTATCGTAAAACATACTGTAATCAAGCAGATTTTATATACCAATTCATCAGTTATTTCTTAGAGGATTGTAATGTAATGATGATTTTCCCCATTTTGAAAAATAACAAAAGGAAAAAATGTTTTTGTAATGTTTCGAAAAGAAAGTTTGTTTTTTAAAGTCCACCAAAAAGTTTCATTGGCAAAAAAAAAAAAATTCTCTTGTAATCAACTAGAAAATAGTAATTTTTCTCATCACACAATATACGTTTTCCGCCGTTGACCTAAAAATCATAAGATAGATAAAAAATGTAATATTCACGAGGTTTCGTGACATTAAATGATAAAATAATTAATCTCTTGTTTTTAATTTTTTTTTCCTCCATGTGATGACAATTACAACTTATAAGTAAACAGTTGTACATATGCCGTTAAAAGTTTTAAACAAAGTGCATTTGCTATATGAAGCAGGGTAAAACTATTATCTTAGCTTTTAATCACATGTCTTTAATTTTATTTGATAAAATTTAAAACAAAGTGAAACAGCTAAAAAAATTTAACGATTGTCTTGTATGTTGTATGGATGCTCAACAGAATAAAAATCAGGCTGTGTAAAGAAATGATTTTTTAAACTTATATTTGAAATTTGACAGTTTCTTTTAAGCAGATTCTACGGAAGCCAGTAAAATAAACTACAGGATGCAAACGTTTTCAAACGGCTTTTTTCTTTTTTCAGCTTCTGCTTACAACATGCACGCTGATCGTCAGTACTCAGTATTACTATTAAACGAAAAAACAAAGATTTGTAATCAGCGGCGAAGTCAATAACAAATAAAAAAAAATATATATATATATTAATTTATATAAATATTTTAAAATCAAAGGTGATACAAATAATATACTTGTTATTAACATTACTCTTTCATATTTATCTAAAAAAAAAAAAAAAGCATACACACAAACACTTACCCTGTATCCGGACTATGCTTCACATGGACTGTACGCCAGAAACCTCAATATGGCGAAAATTAAGTTATTGCCGCCAGAAATAGCCTCGATTCTACTACTACGCTACTGACATTGCAATAAAATCAATAACGATAATAAACAAACATTTAATTTGTAGTAATGGAAGACATTGCATTAATACTTAGATTTTTAGCTCGATTTCATATTTTATTATAATTACTCCTATATTTTACAAAAAAAGTGTTTAATATTAAGTAAGAAACCGCCCTGGTTTAAGGATATTAGCGGAAACGTCGTAAAGATGAGGGGAAACCAGAATGATTTTTTTCTTTGCATAGTTTTAGCTCTTTATTGTAGTTTTAAGCGACATCAGTGATTTTTGTTCATTGCAGGAAATAGTTGCAAAGGAAAATAAATCGTTTTCATTAATAGGGAAGGATTTTAAATTTTACTCTATCTTTTCAATTTGTAAATCTTTTTTTCTGCAAACTGATCACCACCTTTTGCAACCTTGACATATTGAAATTTTAAAGTAGTGATATTTCTTTATATTAAATTATATAGCAAAATCATTAAAACATACAGATTAGTTTTCTTTTCAAGGATTTTTAAATCTCTTTTGAAACAAAATATTGAATAGATTTGATTTATGATAAAAAAAATTGTATGAACACCTACCATCTGGTATTCAACAGTACAAACAACCAATACTATTTTTACTACTACATTTATATTAACAAGAAACTCATAAAATTTTAAAATATATGTAGGTAATATTTGATCTAATGATTGTAAAATGTTTTTCTCTGTATACTAATACACATTAAATTTACTAAAGTGCTAAACAGTTCTATAGTCTTTCTATAATGTAATGAAACCTTATTGTGTAAATTGATTTATATGAGATATTATGTTAAAATGAATACACCACATAGTCTGTATGCTTTCTGTTATGGTCCAGGTCCTTGTACCACGGTGATGGTCCAAGGTAGAACCAATAAAGAAGAACTTGAACACAGATATGGAATAACACAGATATATTACAAACAGGAATATATACAGAGAAGTAGAAAGTGTTAGTACGAACAATCAGGTTTAGTAGGGAGAACAATGTAGTCTCGACCAGTATCACAATTCCAATGTCTTGTAGTAATAGTCTGAACAGGACTCTGTTTTGGACTGCCTCTGACTTGACTCTTGACTCGACTGACTGTCTTGCTCGCTCTGACTGACTGACAGACCTGACAGACTTCAGACTGAACAGTATTTAGTCACCCCCACCCCACGAGGGCATCATGTGGCACAAGGCCGGTTTAACGTGGGATCTCCAAGCCCATGAGCTCAGCCAAAAATATACCCTTTGAACCCGTATAAACGGGTTCAGGGTTGGTTTACCTCCCCGAAAGAGACTCTGCCCTTGACATAGCCTCGTTCGGGTTCCTTCCCACCCAAAGGCAGAGAGTTCAACCAATCATTGGTCAGCGGTCACCCGACTTCGGACTGAACAGTATTTAGTCACCCCCCACGAGGGCATCATGTGGCACAAGGCCGGTTTAACTGTGGGATCTCCGAGCCGTGGGATCTCAAGCCCATGGGCAAGCCAAAAAATATGCCCTTTGAACCCGTATAAACGGGTTTAGGGTACAGATTTTACCTCCCGAAGAGACTCCGCCCTTCGGCATAGAACATTCGGGTTCCTCCCGAATTGAAGGCAGAGAGTTCAACCGATCAGCCGATCACCAGGTCGCCCGACTTCGGACTGAACAGTATTTAGTCACCCCCCACAAGGGCATCATGTGGCACAAGGCCAGTTTAACATGGGATCTCTGAGCCTGTGTGTTCGGCCAAAAATATGCCCTTTGAACCCGTATAAACGGGTTCAGGGTTGGTTTACCTCCCCAAAAGAGACTCCGCCCTTCGGCATAGCCTCATTCTAGTTCCTCCCTGCCCGAAGGCAGAGAGTTCAACCGATCAGCCAGTCAGCTGGTCGCCCGACTTCAGACTGAACTCCCTGCTTCCTCTTGAGGCGCAGTATTTATTACGTATGGAATAGTCCATTATGTTATTATGGGTAAGGTTCCATAACACTTTCTTTGAGGGAGACTTTATATGACTTAATAAAAAGTCAATGGACTATAATATGAACATTACAGAAATTATTTTTTTTTATCATCTCACCCCAAGCAAGGCAATGATGCCACTATGACACAAAGGTATAGAAAATAATGAGAAGACTTTAGAGAATAGAAAGGACAATAAAAGAAAAGATTTCAGGAAAACAGAAAATGGTGATTGCATTTCAATTTTTGAAGATTGTAGTTGGCGGGGAAGCAAGAAATCAGAAGGGAGTTCCACAGGTGAAAAGTGCCAGAAAAGAAACTGTTAGACTAGAAATGGCAGTTGTATCTAGCTAGTTCATCAGTAAAACAGTGTGACGTAGTTGCCAATCTAGTCTTTCTTTCTTCTTTTTATGTGCCATGTCTTTTCAGGACATAGGTGATCATGGCTCTCCACGTCTCTCTATCCCTTGCAGCTCTCAACAAGTTCCCTCCCTCTGCTTCCTCCCCCAGACCATGCTCTGTCATCCACTTGCTTAAGAGCGTCAGGTATGTGACACGTTGTTTTCCCTTGTTTCTCTTTCCCTCTGTTCGACTTGTGAGTATCAGATTCTCCAGGCCTTCCTTTTTCATTATGTGTCCCAGAAACTTCAGCTGCCACTTCATGATGTTAAGTATAAGCCTCCTCCTTGTTTGCAACCTCTCTAACACCTTCTTGCTCACACGCTCAGTCCATGATACCTTATCATCCTTCTGTAAAACCACATCTTTGTCATCTCAAGTCTCTTCTTCATCTTTGAGATGCTTAAATTCATGTAGTCAAGGCACCAAAGAGGAAAGCAATATTTATTTTGAAAATACAAATATGTGGCACAAGGCCAAAAGGAGGGGCTAGGAGAAGACTCGTCTTCAGTCTGTCTTATCTTAAACTTAACTAGTGATAATTACTGACTCAAACATACCACAGTATTCCTTACACTAAAACAACAGATTCTTACCATTCTTACTACAGCCACTATAATACCTCAAAGTCTCTATGAATTTCTAACTAGTCTCCATATGTACAATTCATCTATGTGGATGGGGAATAGAAATAAAAACTTTTAAAAATGAAACCCCAATAAATATTTACAATGATTACAATTTATATACAAGAAATTAAAAAAAAAGTAGTAATAAAAAAAAACACAATCCTTAAAACATCAGTTAAGTGGATAAAATTAATGTGGGGCTAGGTAATTTGACAACAATCATTTGACCAACCACTCACTCAAGCACAGTCATCCAGACACAAACAAATACAAAATACACACTCAAAAAATGAAAAGCATCCCTGTCATTTAACGGGAGAGGGGTAGGAGGAATTAGACTAAAGAAAGTGGGGACAGAAATAAAAGAAGCCAATGAATATACATCCCCTAGCTATGTTAAACCAAGAAGGAAAGCACCTCAGAACACTTGCCATGAAATTATTTATAGAAAAATAAGAAAAAACCCACATCACATTGATGGAAAAGTAACTGGAGTTGAGATGCTATGTCAAGATCAATTACATTGCAAACCCTTCTTTGGATTTTGTTGAGAATCTTGAGATATATATCAGGAGCACCAGACCAGATATGGCAGCAATATTCAATGCACAAACAAATGGTAGATTTATAAATGTGCAAGATGGATTCTGACAAGAAAAATTTGGTGGCACAACACAGTGAACCAACATTTCTAGAAGTAGATGTATCAATTGATTCTGCTATATTCCATGCTAATAAGAATATATACTTGAAAAACGTGGTGGATAAATAAGTAAAGGTTTATTGTAAAAACCAGTACAATAAGAATAAAAGTAACAGTTATGTACAGGGTCGTCACAAGTCAATCCAGTAGCGAATGCTACTATTGGAAGGTCGGTAGTTCTCACATAAGTCTGTGTCATACTCAACAGATCCCAGATAGAGAGTATCTAGCAGCTGCCACAGTCACATGTGGCACAGGGCCGAATTTAATGTGGGGTTCCCAAGCCTGTAGGCTCAATAAAAAAATATTTAACTTTGGATAAAAGGATCAGGGTCTGTCTTGCCCAAACGAGAATCTGCCTTTTGGCATAGCCTCATCCAGGTTCCACTCTGCCCGAAGGCAGAGAGTTTGACCAGCATAGCTGGAAAAGAATCCAGCGAGAGTATCTAGCAACTGCCCCATGCAGTCACATGTGGCACAGGGCTGACTTTAATGTGGGGTTCCCAAGCCCATAGGCTTGGCCAAAAAATCTCCATAGACCCTGCATAAACAGGATCGGGTCAGTCTACTTCCCCCAAATGAGTCTCTGCCCTTCAGTATAGCGTCATCTGATTTCCTCTCTGCTCAGAGGCAGAGACTTCGACTAGCATGACTGAAAAGATTTCAGCTGGACTCTATTGACTTACAGATACTTATAGGTAGTTACTACCTATAGTGTAGTTACTCATTGGGGTGACAGGTTATTCCATTACATCAGATTCCATATAATCACTCCACTTCATGTCAGTGGAAAGCATTAGCCATAGAAGGTGCAAAGAGTTACTTTTTTGGAGGTTAGCATTCTGTATAGTGATTGAATGATAGCATATTTGTTTTGAAGGCGTTAAAATTTACAAACCATAAATTAAAATTTTTTAATTCATTCTCTATAGTTCTGCCATCTATTCACAAAAGCTTATCAGGTAAGTGGCCTGCTGCCTTCTTATATATTTCTTTCTCAGATGCTGTGATGCTTAGAGAAAAGGAATTCTTCCAAAAGCTCCACTTATGAAGTACGTCAAGTTTTTTCTTTGGTTGTTCCAACTCTATGCAAGGCTGACTTGAGCTCAACCATTGTAACGATACTTATAATTACTTACCCTAACTTCTGAACCAAGAAAAAAAATGGACATCCCATAACCATGTTTAAGCCTTTCAATGATAAACCCACGTTTTTGTATG